AAGACGACTTAATGATAAAAGATTAATAGAAAAATTAGGGACTTGTAAAATAGAAGATAATGTTTGAGAATGAATGGCATGGATTAGATCTTTCCCAGAAACAGAAGAAACATTACCATTAGCAATCTTAACTTCGTCTTGATCTGAAGAAGGCTTATATTTTGGGAACAAATCAGAAGACCCAATCATATGATTTGAGGTACCAGAATCAACAATCCAAAGTAAAGGCCTATGAGACCGACTCGGAGAAACGGCTAGGTTACTTGAGTGGGCAAACGATGAGGAGGATGTATCGGATGGAGTAGTTGAAGAAGAACGGCGATCCAGTAGGTGGCGCAAAACATCCTCTAACTCAAAAGAAGACATACCAGAGATATCACCACTAGAAGGGGCAAGTGAAGAGATGTCAGGAGTATCCACTGCTCTAGTATGATGTGCACGTGGATTAAACCCACATTCTCGCGACTGTCCGGAGCAACCCCTACTACTACCAGACCGGTCACCACGACCACTAGACGGAACCCCATGAAGCTTCCAACAAGTCTCACGGGTATGTCTCGACTGACAGCAATAATCACAGAATAGTGTATCATTCTCTGAAGGACTAGATGAAGTACGAGGCAAACTAGTAACCATCCCTAGGAGGAGTAGAAAGTAAGGCTGAACGCTTTGTAGAGGTAGGTGGCAGCATAGCAGAATGACGACTCTCCTCATTTTGTACATAAGCAAAGGCCTCTTGGAGAGAGGGTTGAACATCCATACCAAGGATTCGACTCCTAACAGGATCAAACTCTAAGTTGGGACCTTTCAGAAATTTGAAGACCCTTTTGTGTTCATTCCGGTAACAAATTGAATCAATTGTGCAAACCGCCTTATAGTCTATAGATGATCAGGACATTTCTAGCCATTGTTAAGAAAACTAAAGTACTGAAGGACAGTCGTCTCCCCCTGTACTAAGCGCTCAATAGAACGGCACAACTCAAAAGTCTGTGAGAAATTCTCCTTACGGGAATAGGTAGTGGCCACATCCTCCCAAATATCCTGAGTGGTATCAGTAGAGAAGTAGCCTTCCCTGATATTCGGTACCATGGAATGAATGAGCCATTCCATAATTAAAAAATTGGTAATCTCCCATTCGTCATAACCAGAATCAGTGATGCCCGGTCCCTTAATCCTCCCATCAATATAACCTATCTTCCCTCTACTCTTCAAAAAAAGTGTTAACATTGTGATCAAACAAGATAGTTCGGACCATTAAACAGAGGTGGTGATTTTTAGGCTAGGTTTTAGGTTTTCAGATGTATTAGTCATAATGGGACTCTCCCCTATAGGTGGCTGAGAAGTGGTGGATTCACTAGTAAGGTCAACCATTTAGATTCTACAAACTGAATAACAACCTGCACTAATCACAAATACTGGAAGAGGGAATAAAATCAACTGGACTAAGCAATATCAATCACAGACCATGATAGGAGCATACCAATCAGTCAAAGCTAGGTAAGGGGTCCATATAAGGACCCAAAAAATAAATGAAATAAAGAGAAAAAGTGTCCTCCAATCAATACAGTGGCTGAATTAATCTCAAGAAAAAAAAAATCCCCTGCTTTAAGTGGAGACCCAAATTTCAGATGGTCGACTAGGTGGAGATGCTGACCCAAGAAAAGAAGAAACAAGATCAGCAGGGGCTCATGAAGCTGTCCACAGAAGGGTAGATGGTGTGCGACCCTTGGAGAAGCATCAACAAGGGCCGACACTGACAGAGAGGTTGTCTCCAACTGTGGTCAGAAGCTGTCGTAATCCCTAGAAAGATAAGAGATGGGCCGAAACAGGGTGGGTAATGATTAGCTGCAGATGGGTGATGGTGGAAGGTGAGATAATAGCCCTAGAGCTCTGACACCATGTTTGTTTGAAAGAAAACAAAACTTAGGGAATGATTAGACAACCATCCCTTTTATTATATTGATAATAGGTAGCTTACAATGGAAGCCTTGGAAGCACAAATATGAAAATAACAGGATAAGGAAATTACAACCAATAGAATAATCAATACAATAACCCAAGATATTATTCTAACACTATTCTCTAATCAAGGAGTTAAAGATCTTAGACTAATTTACTTCACAATTTGATGCTAAGTAGAAAATGTTAATTAGATTAGTGATAATTAAGATAGATTAATTAGACCTAATCAATATTAATTGGGATTAAGACCTAACCTTGATTAATTAGCACAAACCTTGATTTATTAAGCTGAGGGAGGATTAAAGATTTGGTGACATGTTGAAGCATATACTTAGAAGCACACATACACCACCTTAGGTTTTGCAACACCTCCTACTTAAGGGATAGTTATCAACCCAAGAAGGACAAGTGTCTCTCCCTTGTTGTAAAATAGAAAATCTATGTTTGAAGAGAGAAATTCTGCTGGAAATTAGAAGCAAGAAGAGACGAGAAAGGAAAAGAAGAGGAATGAGAAGAGGAAGAAGAACCATAAAAAGAGCTTCAATCCTTATATAAAAAATTAAACAAAAATCACTACAAGGTAAGGTCTTCAATCGTGTTTCACATGATATAAATATTAACCACCACGGAAATGATTTGAGATAGGTTCTTTATAGAATATAAAAAGAGAGGGGATTATTTATTGAAAACAATTTAACATAGAAAGCGAAAATCCAACCACAGACCAAGAAACATGAATTATTAAGAAAAATTTGAGATACAAGATGAATATCAAGTTTCAAACCAAGAAAAATACTAAATAATAATTTTATCATAGTACATAGGTGAAGTTAATAACATATCCAAACAAATAAATTCCGAGGAAGAAATTTTAAAAGCACGGAAGATTATGACACCCCAAAATGACACTATGTGATACAAGTATACCATGCTAATTTCTTTGTAGTTGATGAGGGGGTCGAATTGGGAAGAGACGTGAAAAGGCTTGCGCTTTGGCTCCTTTGTGTTTGATGTGGTTGCTTTGGTTGGAACGGAATCGACAAACTTTTCGGGGGGTTCCTCAGACATTATCTTGGCTTTATAGTCAATTTTTTGGTGTTTTGTACAGTTGGGTGATAGGGAGGGTAGATCTAGATTTGTTTGATTTTTTGGACGTTGTAGATGACTTGATTGGTCAGGTGTTGCCCCTTTTTCTTTGGGCTTCTGGTTTTATATTCTTTAGCATCTTCTTGATGCTTTTGGTAATAAATTTTATTTATATAAAAAAAAGCATTTTAAAAGGTATATATTGTTAGCATATTATATTAAGTGATATTATATTAGCCGAAAGGTAGCCGAAAGATACACTAGGGTCTGTCTGTAATCATTTTATGCACTCAGGGATAGCACTCAGGGATCATCTTGTAATTGCATTTCTTGTAAACCCTAATCTTAATCTATAAATAGGGGGTGATATTCTATCATTCCCCAAGCTGGTTACCCAAGCTTCATATATATGCTAATTGTTCAAAAAAGATCCGAGTTAGTTTGGCTATTTTTTTAGAATCTGTTACTAAAAAAATTTCAAGAGAATTCAAACTAATTTGATAAAAATAAACACTACAAATTTTATTTTTTTAAATTTAATAAAATTTATTTTCATCCCCCCACCCACCCAAAGAAAAGAAGAAAACCATTTGAAAATAATGTGTTTTTTATTTTATTTTCCACCTTGTTTTTGAAATTTTAGCAATTTCTAAAACTTGACTAATCAAAGCCACATTTTTTTAAGAGAAGCTGGAGATGCCAAATTCATGACCCCTAAATTCACTATTAATGATGTGGCAGGAGGTTGGGTAAATTGTGAGGCCATGTTTTTGGAGGCTCAAGTTTCTTATTTATTTATTTATTTATTTCTATAAATGTTTTGGCCATCCTGTCAATAATTTTGTATTTTGTTTTCCCTTCATACAATTTAACGGACTTGATGTTAAGAGCCCCATTTAATATGTTCGAAGATAAGCACCCCGGAAAAGAATTGGACCCATGTAAATTCGAATTGCAGACCCACATTAATGACAATTTAGTACAAATCATAGTTTTAAATCACATTATCGGATAACGTAATGGTATCGATCGTGAAGTATCGGTATTGATAGTATCGGCTGGTATGTATAGGGAATCGAGTGTCGTGGCCAGGAAATTTCTTAACCATTTTCACAGGAGTATCGGCCGCCTCGGTGAGTATCAGCTTGTCGCGACTTGTGTAATGGGTTGAAAAACGGTTACGACGTAACGGGAATCGGCCGGTTCGACGGTCACATCGCAATATCGATCCGTATCCGTATCGCCGCCTTGATTTTTCGATGCGTATCGGCCGGTACGTAGCATACTGGCTGTGTTTTTTAGAACTATGGTACAGATTTTGTTAAGCAATTGCATGAAGACATCATGCACCACGAAGCACTGTTTGTTTCTTTGTTTTTTCGTCTCTACTTATTCTACTTCTGGTATTTTGCTTCTTCTTATGGTTATGTTGAGTTGCCTTGAGTGATTTATGTATCCCATTCATGTCCCATACCCAAAGAAATAATAAAAAGTTTGGGCACGCTTGTGGTGCGAGGCAATAATAAAAAGTTTGGGCACACGTGTCTACAGTGAGTCGGCTTAAGAGATGCATATGTCCCAGTCGTGTCCCAAACCGAAGAAATAAAAAATAAAAAAATTGGACACATGTGACATTTCTATGCCTGTTGGTTTGTCAGATACTAGTAGGACAACCATATTGGCATGCCATGATTCATAGGTTGCAAGTATTCTCTGCACTTTGTTTACTCTCCCCAAGTGTTTGAATTAAAGATGCTGACACTGATTATGATAGGACCTTTGTTTACACTATTTGTGTAATTTTAACCTACCTTTATCTATTTATTGGTTTCTTCCTAGCTAATTTTTGATTCCTTGGTGCTTATGCTGTTTGTTAATGGATTGTTCTTTTGTTCGTCTTGTAGATCTTTTAATTCACAATTTAGTTCACTATATTCACTCCATTATTACAGGACTGTGCCTTGAACCCCCAGAAGCTGTTTCGCCTAAAAGATAGAGCAATGACTGCTGAGAGTTGGATGCTGGAAAAATTTTCCAGACTCAAAGGTCGAGTGAGAGGGAATTATGTGGGCCCTTTTACTAGAGGTGTGCCAGCATTTCTTTTGTTAGCTGCGTTATCTGTCGCTGCACTAGGTACTCTGGAAGACAGAAAGGCCTGAAGATAAGGAAATGCAGGGCTAGGGCTGTTTATGTTTTTGTGAAAAGATAATTATTCTCTGATTAAGATTTACTTCTGGTGTCATAGTGGTGTGTAATGCATATATATATATATTATATTTATTTGTTATTTTAGTTTGACTAAGTTGACCAGGGCTGTTCATGTTTCTACGGAAGATATTTATTCCCTATTTAGGGGTTACTTCTGCTGTTGCAGTGTTCTTTGTAAATGCATATATAATTGTCATTTAAGTTTGACTAATTTACTCGATTAGGCTTTTAAAAGCTTGTTTATACAAAATGCAATGGTAATGTTTGTGAAATTGTTACTGAACAATTTAAATATACATCAACTAACGACTTCACCTTTAACCACATATAATATTTTTAGATTAAAGGAATTATACGTTGTATATGAAAGTGAATATCATAGATAATGTATAATGATTTTAAACATGTTTAACATGTGTCTTAAGGGCGGACACACGGTAACACGACTCTTATATATTTTTTAATGAATGATGCAATTGCTAGCCTCCGACAATTATAATTACTCAAAAAAACATGAAAGCAAAAAAGTTGCAGAATTTTTTTTTTTGGAGAAACACCTGATTTTGGCCTAAGAAATCAGAGGTCTTGATTGGAGACACACGGAAACAGCTCTAACAACGTATAAGGATTAGTCTCAGGATTAGTCTTAGGAGTGGTGTTTTGGGGAGATGGTAAAAAGTTGGCTTTTTTTTTTTTTTGTGGCTTTTTTTTTTCTGGTGTGTAAGAAAGTAGAGAGGTGATGTGATTAAAAATAGTTAAAAAGCCTAAAAGTTGGTTTTTTATCAGCTTGCCAAATGTTTGGATTGAGTTAGGATTATGAGGATTAATAAAATCTTATCTAATATATTTTTGTTAGGATTAGATAAACCCTGTATTTAATTGTTAATATATTATTTGATGTTCTTGATTTTTGGGGTGTCACATGTGGCTTGCCAGCCACTAGTGTATTTTACAGATATTTTATGTTAGTTGTGTCAGCTGGTTGAACAGATATTTTAGGACCATTCATTTGAACCCTCTTGTGTGAGGGCAAATTTGTAACACTTATAATATTTTGTATGTCTTCCAAGTCCCATTTCCTTCTTCTTTTTATTTATGTGTTTATCGTGGTAGCATCATATTTTTCGTTTCATATCATTACCATGCTTCGTATCCATGTTTGCATGCATTAAGTTCGATTCATCATTCTAACATTGTTGTCATTTCCTACTAACTTGAATATGTGCGTTGTCGCATGCTTTGAGTTGACCCATGTGACATGTTAAATAAACCAAACCTAGTAGTTGCATTTTGTATGTGTTGCATTAGTCATTTTCATATTAGAGCATACATTTTTCTAATTATTTTCTTCTCTTTGGCTTACCTCGGTGGAGTACTAGGTGAATATTTTTTGCTTTAGCATATTGCATGTATGTTTGTGTTGTCATATCAAGCATATTACCATGAGGCTAAGTGTTTATTTGAAATATCTCTTTGCATGCCGGTGGATGGAGGCAATTTCACTTAAGTTGGGATGATTTTGATTAATGTACATCTGAGCTCGCTTTTCATTCAAGTAGCACATATTCAAAACTCTTTTCAAACAAACATGAAATAAAAGCATTCCAAAGTGAGTGACGTAGTCTATACTTGTGTGCCTCACATAGTAAGCTAGCATAATAATTAGAACATGAACATATAATCTACATAAAAATCATATTAAGATTAGTAGAGACCGATTTTTGATCGAGTGAGTGGGGTGCTCAATTTATGACCTTCCCTTCTCATACCTAAGTTCTCGAGCCGAGACAAACTTTGGTTATGACAGACAAGTGGCATTTGGCACGAGTTATGGGTTTCCTAATTTTTCCAAAAATATTAGGTGGCGACTCTAAAATCTGGAAATGCGGCCCATTTTGGCATTTCTTGCGAATAGTGGATTTTTTAAGATTTGCCAGATTTGGACTCTCATTTGTTTTTTTTTCTATTTCACATTGCACTTGTGAAACCAGATCAGAACCACGGGAGTCTAAACTGTAGGGCTATCGCACCCGAGGAGACTAAACCCCTCCGAGGAGCACGAAAAACTAGCCACACAAGTGTAATTGAAGGCTCTAGATGAGAATTTAATCCTTAATTCTTAAAGATAATTCATTTTAGAGTTGAGGTCATGGAGTTATTATGATTATTTGCATGTATTTTGTTAGGGAAAGTCAAGAAAGTGTTGTAGCTTTACATGCATGCATGAATATGTTGAGTTTTACTACTTTGAGTTTGGTTTTGATCATCCATTTGGAAATTGTAAGTTAATTTGTACATGTATCTTTGATTCAGCATGTTTTGGCTTTTTGATTCAGCATGTTTTGGCTTTTAGATTCATGTTTTGAGAATCATGGAAAAAAAGTTAGACACATGCATGGAGCTTTTGACCTCAATTTTGGTAAATAAATGAGTTTTGAGAAAAGAGTTTGAAAAATCTTGCATGCATGAATTTTTGAGTTCAATTTTGGTGGATTTAAAATGATTTTGAGCAAATGGTTTTTAAGGGGTCATGTATACATGTTTTCTAAAGCAACTTTGTGTTTTGGAATAAGCCATGCAGAACTCGAGGCTTTGAATTTGTATTTGGAAGTTTAAACTTTCAGTTTTGAAACCCAGAATTTTGCCAAACCGCTCGAGTGACCAAGTGGTGGCTCGAGTGAACTTCGCGAGCTTCCAGTATCTTTGCAGTCTTTGCAAACCACTCAAGCGACCAAAGGTTGGCTCGAGTGAACTGAGTGTATGTTTTGCATCCACTCGAGCGACAAATAGTTGGCTTGAGTGCACATCAAACCCATCCAATACTTTTGCAGACCTTTGTGACCTCTCGAGCGACCAATAGTTGGCTCGATCAAATAACCCTATTTCAGCATGTTTTGAAAAGATATTTTGTGCTTGTATTTCTGTCCACTCTAAGCCTTCTTAGGCATGAAATATGATTCATTGAGGAGTAATAAGCAAGAAACTAGGGGTGTAAAAATGGTCTGAGGCCCATGGACGACTCAAATCCCGCCCGAAGCCTGAGGTGGGCCCGGCATGTTTCAGCCCAGTTAAGCCCGAGCCCGAGCCTAGCCCAGTACCTTGAGCCTGAGCCTGAGCCTGGGCCTGGGCCTTCCACTTGGGGCCCAGCCCCGCCCGTTGGCCCGACCCCGCCCACAAAATTTCGAGCCCTGTGAGCGGCCCAGCCGGCCCACCCATCCGGCCTTTCTCTACTAATGGTCAAATTTCAAAAAATAAAAATAAAAAACAACTTATAATGGTTAAATAATTAAAAAAGTAAAAAATAAAATAAATAAAAAGATTGATCTTATAAAAATAAATAATTAAAATTAATCGTGTAAAAATTAAAATTTATATAATTAAATAAATAATATTAATAATTTAAAAATAAAATAATAATAATAATAATAATAATAATAATAATAATTTATTAAATTAAAATCAAACTAATAATCCTTTTTACTTTGGCCAGGAGAGAGAGAGAGAGTGTTACTATACCATGCTATAAAGCTAAGCATGCATGCTTAGTATAACCAAGTTGTTCCCTTTTCTTTTTTCATTTGGAAGTAAAATCATGTGATTTATACTTCAAACACTACAATATTAAATTCAATAGTCATTCTTAATTGCTATTTTCAAAGACTAACATTGTTAAATTTGACAGACCCTGATAGACCCAAGAATGATAAAGCTTGTGTGACCCACTGTCACTGCACACTATCACTATGTTGTGGTTGGTTGCTGCCAGCAGTCGAAACAAGACAAGAGAGGGGGGTAGAGAGAGAGAGAGAGAGGAGGCAAAGTTAATTTATTGAAAATATATTTATTTATCATTAGAATAGACTATTAGACTGACAGAGAACATAAAAGAGAGAGTGGAGGCAAAGTTATAAAATATTTTGTATATACAAGAGAGAATCCCTGAAAAGACTAAAGCATGGCATGGCAATAGTTTGATATCTCTAGCTCCATTCTTTTGGTCAAAAAGAACGACCACCCTTACTAGCCTAGTTGAAATTAGTCTGTTGCATCTCCTCATCAATCACTCAACTCAAACGATCATAATTCAAACGGTTATGATTCAAATTACTATAAATATCTTTCATTTTCCAAAATAAATCTCTCAACAAATAATTCTCTCTCTCTCTCTCTCTCTTAAACTCTCTCAATCTCTCGTAAACTCTCAATCTCTCTCAACTCTCAATTAATTTTGAAATGCCATCCTAAGTTTCAATTGCAATTGTGCAACAAAAAACTTTTATTAGAAGAAGCAAATTTTTGTATCACATTCACCAGTCGATAACATTAATTAGTTTAATTAAATTTATTAGCTACTCATTTTTTTCATTACTTAGTTGTGCACATATATTAATTATTATTTTTTACTGATTGTATTTACACATTATTTAAATTAATTGTTAATTCTTATATATTGTTTTACTTACATTACTATGGATCCTAATATGCCTAATGTTTATGTCGATATTGATACATATACTAGACAACATGAATCTGTTGATTCTCCTTCTAATATTCCTCTTCCAACAGTTGGATCATCATCTAGGAGCAGAAGTAGTAGTGTTTGGGAACATTTTAAAAAAAATATCTATAAATAATCATGATGGTACAATTACATTTAAAGCAAAATATAAATATTGTGCACATTTACTTAGTGATGCATCTGCAGGGGGTACTAGTTATCTAAAAAGGCCTGCTAACAAACATTTATAAAATCCACAACCTGATATTCGAAGTCAAACGCAATTAGGGGCTTCATCAACTAGTAATTTGCAAACATTTTCATATGATCCTATAAATGCACAAAATTCTGTAGTTGATTATATTATTAAAAAAGAACAACCTTTTACTACTAATGAATGTCCCGATTTTACCAAAATAATTCATGAAAGTTTTGCACCGCAATATCAAAGTTTTTCAAGGAATACTACTAGAAATAAGATTTTAAATAAATTTGAGGATGCTAAAAGTGAATTATTTGACATTTTTAAAAATTTGAATGGAAGAGTTTGTTTAACATCAGATCTGTGGTTAAATAATGGTTTTGAATATCAATGTATCCCTGCACATTTTATTGATAATAATTAGAAATTAAATAAAAGAATTATTTCATTTAAATTAGTTGAACTTTCATGCACTGGTCATTCGCTTGGTGTAGAAATAAGAAATGTATTATACGAGTGGGCTTTACAAAATAAAATATTTATGATTAGT